CTCAAGCCTGGCATTTGCAATTGTTGGGGGGTTACCCATCTGCCATGCTGGGGGCAGAGGTCCCATGAGACAGGAAGATACCAGACTTCCCTACCCCCAGCCAGGACACATGGGTCAAGCAGAAGCTGCAGGAGGTAGAACCAGTAGTTGGTGGATCTACTAGTGCTGAGTTGTACGTGTGAGGCCCTCAGGCATCTGTGAGGATCTGAATTTGCCCCCTATGAGTATCCTTTCGCTCCAGGGGCCCATGACATTAAATAGAAAGTAAAAGCACGATGACATGATAAGCTCATATAGGAGAGAGAAAGGGGAGTGGACCGAAGGAAGGAAAAAGTTTTGTATTTTCAGATTCACAGCACCTTTTCCTCCGGGCAGCTTTTTTAAATTTGCACTGGGCCCCTACAAAGTATAGCAGTTGAATTCATCATCATTGACTGGGAGCCAGACGTGAACTGAACAATGCCAGAGTTGTCTCCTCATCATTGATGTTCTATGACTATATGTAAAAGAGAGTTTTGGCTTTTTTTATTTTCTTGCCTGCCCTTTTAATATTATAAAAACTTAGACCTGAGGGGAGCTTCTGGGTGGTTTCAGTCGGTTAAGCATCCAACTCTTAATTTTGCCTGTCATGATCTTCACAGTCATGATTGAGCCCTTGCAGGACTCCCTCTCTCAGACAGCACGGAGCCTGGTTGGGATTTCTTCTCTTCTCTTCTGTACCTTCTCTCCTCTCAAAATAAATTAACTTAAACAAAATACTAGACTCGAAGAGAGAGAGGAAGAGGTATGCCAGAGTCAAACTTCCTCCTTTCCCTTCTGACTCCTCTCTTTCACCTCTTCCAGTAAGAGACTAGTGAAAAATTGAAAGTCTGAAGCTATAAGCTAGTATCCTCACTCCTCTCCTTTACTTATCTACAGATAGATAGCTGGGACTTTCTCTAATATTTTAAACTAACCTTATCATAAGAAACATGGATAGAATTACCCAAATTTTTTTATGCAGCAGTTACCAGGACTGCTTTTCAGTCCATTTAGAGGAGTTAAACAGTTAGTAATCAGCCAATCCAGTCATTTCATTTCATGATGAACTAGAGATAACCGAAAAGGGCTTTAAATTCAAGGCTTCTTAATTAGTGGTGGCAACTTCAATTTAAAAATTTTGTCCTGTTCTACCCTCCTGCACTATCTTGGCTACAAGTTACATTGTTAATGGCTATTCTTCCCCAGATCACTGAGAGCTGCCACTTTTGTTAGATCAAATATTTGAAAACTACAACTTTAAATCACATGTCGTTCATGAGTCTTTAAATGCAATGTTTTTGTGTTGTTTAATTTTGGTGTGAAGTGTATCTGTGTGTGTGTGTGTGTGTGTGTGTGTGTGTGTGTGTGTATAAGAAAACATGTGAATATATACTATATATATTTATATATATAATTGAAATAATCCGACCTTAAACTATAGTTCCAAGATCTTTAACTCTATGCTAATATCTTGTGATAACCAGGTGCCTCTCTCTCTGTAACTAGTACCATTATTATTTGAGCCTTGATAGTATGTAGAGAAACTGAGTGTCATAATGAAATTACAAAGCATTGGCAAGAACAGGATAGAATTGTTTATTTTTTATAAGTAACAATATTAAAAATAAACACCATCTACCATCACTTTCATTTTATAAAAAGAATATTTGGGGTGCCTGGCATGAAGCCGGTTGTTGCCCACCAGTTAGGTCAATTTATCTCACGGTCCGTGAGTTCGGAGTTTTTCCGTCAGGTTTGGCCGATGGCTCATTCGGAGCCTGTTTCCGATTCTGTGTCTCCCTCTCTCTCTGCCCCCTCCCCGTCGTCGCTCTGTTCCTTTCTCTTCAAAAAAATAAATAATGTTGAAAAAAAGAATATTTTACATCTGCCACATATTAAGGATATGATCTCAGAATAAAGATAATCTTTGTGAGAAGACATTTGATGATTTATGTTTTTTTTTTTTATTATTGAACTAGTGACATTTGTCATGGATCTAGTACTTTGTTTGCAGACTGGTGTTGGAGAACCACTGATATATAGTAGCAATGTAAAATATTACGTGCCAGAACTGTTGCTGCAGATTATGCTGTATAGATATTCCCAACTGTTTTCTCAAGGAGCATTCTAATTCCACCTGTATTAAAAGTGACTATTACTCTTCATAAGTAATAATGGCCTACTGTTTTTTCAGTGCTCTGCAATCATGCTGTCATCTGCCCTTATTTTTTTTTTTAATAGTAGTTTGGAGCAGAGACCTGAATTCCCATGATGAGGATAGACAATACTTTATTTCTACTATACTTAATCATAGTTTAGTCTAGATATGAGTTCTATTATACTGCTATAGGCCCAGTGTTAACAAGAATATTTATTTGTTTGCTCCTATAGTCGTATATTAACTAGAATAAGTTACTTTTGGCATAGTAAAATATTAACAGATGGTTTATTTTGACTTTCCACAATATCGAAGCTGCAAATGTTTTTCAGATTTGCTTGTTAATCCAGGTGCAAATAATAATAACAAAATAATTTTCGGAAAGCAAATTCCATAAGAACAGTAACATTAGCGCATTTAGCATAAGAGCAAAAGAGTATCTGGCATTGAGAGTAGAGCTCACAAATTTTTATTAAATTAATGAATGATTAACAATGAATAAATTCAGAATCTTTGTGAAGTTCAGATATTGCCAGATCCACTTTGGCTATTGTCAATAGTGCTGCTGTAAACATTGGGGTGCACGTACCCCTTTGAATCAGCGTTTTTGTGTCCTTTGGATAAATACCTAGTAGTGCAATTGCTGGATCATAGAGCAGTCCTATTTTTATTTTTTTGAGTAACCTCCATACGGTTTTCCAGAGTGGCTGCACCAGTTTGCATTCCCACCAGCAGTGCAAAAGGTTCCTCTTTCTCTGCATCCTAGCCAACATCTGTTGTTGCCTGAGTTTAGCCATTCTGATAGGTGTGAGGTGATATCTCATTATGGTTTTGATTTGTATTTCCCTGATGATGAGTGATGGTGAGCATTTTTTCATTACATACCATCTTTTAAAAGTTGAAGTGTATTAGGATTCTTAACTGTAAGTTGATTTTGTCAGCAAAAGAATTTAAAACTTTTTTAAATGGTTATTTTTGAGAGAGAGAGGAGAGAGAGAGAGCATGCGCGTGCAAGTGAGTGGAGAAGGGGCAGAGAGAGAGGGAGACACAGAATCCAAAGCAGGCTCCAGGCTCTGAGTTGTCAGCACAGATCCTGATGTGGAGCTCAAACCCACGAAGTGCAAGCTCATGACCTGAGCCAAAGTCAGCTGCTCAAGCGACTGGGCCACCCAGTTGCCCCAGCAAAGGAATTTAGATGTTGGTCATCTCAGACTTAGAAAATGGTCAGAAAGGGAACCTATGCAGTTTTGAAGAGCATGCCATAAAATCAACTTCAGTCCTGAGTATTGTATGTTGTCACTATTGACTGTAATGATGCTGCTACGCTACTGTGGTGTCATTGTTGCCCATGGAAACTTGATGTTACTAGCGTTGCCCCTGCAAACTGTCAACAGATGGATTTGCAACAGTTCTTGTTCTTTGTGGTATTAGTTTCTGATCCAATATCCAGGACAGGTGTATCTGATTAGCAGAGTCTGGCCTCATGCTCATAAAGCTAGTATCTGCCATGTCTGGCTTCTCTAGTGGGCAGTGGACTCTTGTAGAATTCCTCCAGAATTCAAAGGGAGTTCAGATACTGTGTAGTTAAGAATGTGAAAATCACATTCTTGAGTGTTTAATATAGTGAGTATACACAGAACAGCAGTATAATAAATTATACACCAATTCAGAAGTTGGTATTTCAGAATTATAATGTGTTTGGAAGATATCTGTTGATCTCAATGGATATGTAACTTCACAAATGAAGACTTCTTTTATATTCCCTGCGATTCTAATAATCTGCAGTGATGCTAGAGTTATTTTTTTGAGTTACAAATCTAATGTCTTTCTCCTACTCAGAATCCTTCAATTTTTTTTTTTTTTGAGAGGGAGGAGGGGCAAAGGGAGAGGGAGAGAGAGAATCTTAAGCAGGCTCCATGCCCAGCATGGAGCCCAACATGGGGCTAGATCTCATGACCCTGAGATCATAACCTGAGCCCAAATCAAGAGTCAGACACTTAACTGACTGAGCCACCCAGGTACCCCCAAATCCTTCAATTATTACCTCATTGACTAGAGGATAAAATTAAAACTTTTTATCTTGGCCCACAAATCCCTTTCAAAATTTGAATCTTGTCATATTTCTAGCCACAATCACAAATACTCTACCTCTCCCCCTTACCCATAACATATAAGCTCCAACTACATCCTATTCTGGTTCCCTGAAAAATACCATGCTCTGTTATGTTTCTGCATGTTTGTACGTGTAGAATCTTTTTGTCTGGAATGTGTATTCCTTTTTTGCCTTCTTTGCAAATTTATCTTTGAAGACTCCATTCAGAAACTGCTTTTCCTAATAGTGCCTTCTTGATGCCCTCAACCAAACTCCTTCTTTCTTTATGTTTCTGTGCATTCCTATACTTTAGCAGTCATCACATTATATTGTGATTATTTCTTACAGAAACTTTTATTAGATGCTAACAAACTTGGAAACTGATAATCTTTTATTTACTTTTTTTTATCTCAGAAGATTTTTGTTAAATAAGTAATAAATGAAAACACCCTACTTCCGGTTGGTTAGTTCATTTGGTTTGTGTGCTCTTTTTAAGAGGAAAAAATCCTGCATTCTATCCTTGTATCATTGTGTCTATGGTCATAGCCACAAATAGCATCCCCACCTTGGCTAATTATCTTGCAACAGAACTAGGGGAAATAGACCTTGATGGACCAGTAATATTGTCGTAAATGATAGGTTTAAAATGGTCTTTAAAACTGTCAGAAAAGTACCTTGCTGTGATGAAATGTTTATACTGAATTTTCTGTTTATATTTCTCATGTTAAGGAACTTAAAAAAGTTACCTCAGACTTGATAAAGTCCAAGGTCACATGTCAACAAGAGATAGGAGAAGAAAACATCCATTTAACAATTAAAGAACAAAAATTTCAAGAACTTCAAGAAAGATTCAACATGGTATTTAATTAAATGAATTCATGTTTATATAATTGTTTTTGTAAAATTTATGAGAATTTCAGGATTATAATATAAAAGCATTCCTTTGTAAAGTTAATATATCGAGTAAAAAAAGGTATTATGAATTATTTTTCACTCTGGGTAATTTTTGCCATTATCAGCAAGAATTTAAGACAATAAAATTTGTCTATAACCATTTTATTTCCACTTTAATGTAGTGTCAGGTAATCTTATGGTACAATGGTGTCTCCAGAAAAGCTTTTGGAGATAAGAAATTTTGTAGTTTTTTTTAACATTAATATTTATAAATTTGTACACCAGCCTGTATTGGGTGTCTAATACAGTCTTTATTTCACTAGAACCACTACTTCCCCAGCAAACAAAGGTTGGTACTCTGGGGTGGTAAGGGGTCATGGCACTCCTAAACTTGTTGAGCACTGAATTAAATGTAGAATTTTCTGAATTTTATGTCATAACTTTAAAATTACTCAATTTTTTAAAGGAATTGGAATTAAATAAGAAGATTAATGAAGAGATTATGCATATTCAAGAAGAAAAACAGGCAAGCAATCATAAGATATTTTGGAAGCCAGTAAATATTTTTAAAACTGATATAACGTGAGAAATAAACAAGTTCAGTAACAAATGGAATCATGTGTAGGTCAGTTGCTAGCACATAGTAAGCACTCGGGGTCATTTGAATGGATACATGTGAACCTTTATAATCAGGTCTCACATATGCTCCCATTAAAAAACAAATCAGAGAAATGGGAAGATGTTTGTCATAGGGGACAAACTTCCAATTATAGTATGAGCAAGTTCTTGGGGTTTAATGTACAGCATGATGATTTTAGTTAACAGTACTGTATTACATACTTGAAAGTTGTTAAGAGAGTAGATCTTAAATGTTCTCACCACACACACACAAATAGGAATTATGTGAAGTGGTAGAGATGTTAATTAATCTTATGGTAATTATTTAGCACTATATACGTGTATCAAATCATCATGTTATACAACTTAAGTTGACACAATGTTATGTGTCAATTATATCTTAATAAAGTTGGGAAAATATTACAATATTTAATTAATAAAAAGGATAAAAATAAATCAGTTTTTTCCTTGATAGTACCCTAGCAGGTACTATCCATTGGTACCCTAGCAGGTAATTACTGAAATGTGTGTATGCTTAGAGCATACATTTACAGGATGTTATACTCTCATTTAAATCTATTTGATATTTATAATTTTTCTATTTAAAAAAAGGTCCATGAAAGAAAAGTTCTGTTTCTTTTTTTTCTTTTCTGCTTTTCTTCCATTTCATTATGAATGCATATCATGACATTTTAGCCCGTTAGCAGTATGACATTTTAGTAGGGATATGTTTACCTTTTTTAAGACAAGCCAACAATAATTTTAGTTTTGAATTCTTCACATTTTTCAGTAGTGTCTCATAATCCACGGTCCATTTCAAAAAACTTTGTTAATTATTTGAAGAACTCTTGGAAATAGTACTTTGTAAGAAATTATACAAGTTATTTTAGATATTAAGTTAGTAAAATATGCTATTAGTTTATTTCAGTATCTTGTTATGATATTTAAATTAAACTATAAAGATAATAAGTTAAGAAATTAGAAAAAGTACTTTAAGAATGAATTTAGAAACATACCTACAAAATTTTTTCAACTAATATATTTATACTCTTTTAAAGGATATCATCACTTCTTTCCAACATATGCAGCAGTTACTTCAGCATCAAACTGAAGTTAATACTGAACTGGAAGCAGAGTTGAAGGTGTTGAAAGAAAATAATGAGGTTGTATATAGATATATAGATATAGATATAGTGTATTTATATCTAATGAGCTTTACCTGTTTAGTTGCATTTATCTGCCCAACTTTATGTGGGATCATTTTGAATTTTAGGGGTAAGATATGGCCTTCTTCACCAACTTGGTATCAATGTCTAAAGTAATGAATATATGTGTGTATATATATATTTTTTTAATTTAAATTTAAGTCACTAGTTAAGTGTTATGTTTTATCAAGTATCTGACTTAATTTTGTAACAGATTGGATGAGATTTTTTTTCTTTGTCTTAGAATTGTGGCAAAGACCAAAACTGAAAATAGAAGGTGATAAGTGTCACCATATTCTAAGAGAACAGTCAGTGAACTCCCAGAAATTGAGGCAGACCCCTCTTCATGGGTTTAGGTAGAACTGGCCCTGTTGTCACAGCAATCACACCATCATCTTATTTCCATATTTAAAAAAAAAAAATGGAGAGAGGAAGAAATTATGGTCACTGATGTTTTGGGAGTAACAGTTCCATAAGAGAGGCTTTTCTATTACATCCCTAGTTGGGAGGGGTCATACATTTCCCCTAATAAGCTAGGTGAAGGAGTCTATGTGAAAATCATGTAAAGATTGGGGTACAAAAAAGGGAAAGTGCCATCTTGTTTTGTGGATGGATGCTTGAGATGCTGTAAAAACTTGAAGGTTCACTCTGGTGTTGGCAGTAGAATAAAATGTGATAAGTTCATGTGGAAGAACTGGCATATGTTTTTTGAAGTTTGGAATTATACCAAGAGCATATAGACTAGTGCACAGTTATGTTCCAGAAATTTCAAGGAGGAAAATTTTTGAAGTGATCTTTACCAATGGGGCTTGAAGTGTATTATGCTTGTTCCAATACTGTATGGCCCAGTAAGGGTGCAGAAGAGAGACATTTGGTGGTTTCTTGGTTCCACATGAAGGAACATGGAGGTTAGTGGAAGGGCAGAAATTGCTCTGTGTCCCCCTGGCCAAGTGATTGAATGTCTAAGTCAAGAGAAGGAGGTGGGGACATGTTCCACTGGGGTGGCCAGTGGAAGATATTTGTGTTCCTCTGAAGGAAATCTTGGAAATGAAGGTAAAGCTGAACATTTTTCAAGAAAACTACAATCATAGGGTACCTGGGTGGCTCAGTCAGTTGGGCATCTGACTCGATTTGGGCTCAGGTCATGATCTCATGGTTTGTGGGTTCCAGCCCTGTGCAGAACCTACTTGGGATCCTCTCTCTCTCTCTCTCTCTCTCTCTCTCTCAAAAATAAGCTTAAAAAAAAAAAAGAGAGAAAACTACAATCACTTCCCATGGAAAGACCACCATCAGCAGAGGCCAAGGCCAACTTCCTGGGTATATAACCAGTGCAGTTGCATAGGGATCCATACTCAGAAGGGCTTTTTGCTTCAGGTTTAATGTTCTGTGTTCACTGTCTTGAAATTTTCATCTTTAAATTTATGTTTTGTAAATTAAGTCTGATGGGAAAATGGAGCCTGCACTGGAGTCTTGGAGCCTTAGCTCAGGCTTTGCTGTGTCTCCTACTGCCTCTCAGGATGAGTTTTTGGCTGCTGGTTCTGCCATACTTTGGTATGCTAGGCCCTGCCTGGCCTCATCCTCTCTGCTTCTGCTCCACCACTGTTGTGGTCACGTTCCTGGGGAGAGGTTTGTGTTCTACTGTTGCTCTTTATGTTTGGTGGAGGGCTAAATATAGCAGGGAGGGTCTGGGTCCATTGCATATGTCTGCAGCATCATCTGTCTCAGGTTGGCAATACCTTGGCACATTAGGTAGGTGACTTGGCAGGGGGTGAGTCCTCAATCCAGGTACTGAGATGTATCCCTGCCTGGCATTTGCAATCTGTTGGGGGTTACCCATCTGCCATGAGTTGGGGCAGAGGTCCCATGAGACAGGAAGATTGACTTCCTCACCCCCAGCCAGGACATACATGGGTCAAGCAGCTTGCAGGAGGTAGAACCCAGTAGTTGGTGGATCTACTAGTGTTGAGTTGTACGGTGAGGCCCTCAGGCATCTGTGAGGATCTGAATTTGCCCTATGAGTATCCCTTTGCCCAGGGGCCCATGACATTAAATAGAAAGTAAAAAGCACGATGACATGATAAGCTCATAGGGAGAGAGAGAAAGGGGGAGTGACCATGAAGGAAGGAAAAAGTTTTGTATTTTCGTATCTTCAATAGCACCTTTTCCGTGCTTTTTAAATTTTGCACTGGGCCCCACAAAGTATGTTGAATTCATCATCATTGACTGGAGCCAGACGTAACCTGAACAATGCCAGAGTTGTCTCCTCATCATTGATGTTCTATGACTAATTATGTAAAGAGAGTTTTGGCTTTTTTATTTCTCTTGCCTGCCCCTAATATTATAAAACTTAGACCTGGAGGGACGCCTGGGTGGCTCAGTCGGTTAAGCATCCAACTCTTAATTTTGGCTCAGGTCATGATCTCACAGTCATGAGATTGAGCCCCCTTGCAGGACTCTGGGCTGACAGCACGGAGCCTGGTTGGGATTCTCTCTCTCTCTCTGCACCTCTCCCTCCTCAAAATAAATTAACTTAAAACAAAAACAATTTAGACCTGGAAGAGAGAGAGGGAAGAGGTATGCCAGAGTCAAACTCCTCCTTCCTCTTGACCTCTTCACCTCTTCCAGTAAGACTAGTGAAAAATCTCTGAAAGTCCAGCTATAAGCAAGTATCCCCCACCTCCTTTACTTATCTACAGATAGATAGCTGGGACTTTCTCTAATATTTTAAACCTTATCACAAGAAACATGGGATAGAATTTACCCAAATTCTTTATGAGTAGCAGTTACCAGGACTGTTTTCTAGTCCATTTAGAGGAGTTGAAACAGTTAGTAATCAGCCAATCCAGTCATTTCATTTCATGATGAACTAGAGGTCCGGAAAGTGTAAGCAATATAGTTCAAGGCTTCTTAATTAGTGGCAATCCTCAATTTAAAATTTTGTCCTTGTTCTACTCCAGCACTATCTCTACGTTACATTGTTAATGTATTCTTCCTAGATCACTGAGAGCTGCCACTTTTGTTAGATCAGTTATTTGAAAACTACAACTTTTAAATTGCTGTTCATGAGTTCTAAATGCAATGTTTTTGTGTTGCTTAATTTTGTTGGGTGTGAAGTGTATCTGTGTGTGTGTGTGTGTGTGTGTGTGTGTGTGTGTGTGTGTGTATAAGAAACATGTGAATATATACTAATATATATTTATATATATACACTGAAATAATCCTGACCTTAACTATAGTTCCAAGATCTTTTAACTCTAAGTGCTAATATCTTAGATAATCCAGGTGCCTCTCTCTGTAACTAGTACCATTATTATTTGAGCCTTGATAGTATGTAGAGAAACTAGATGTCATACGGAAATTTCATGCAAAGTATTGGCAAGAACAGGATAGAATTGTCAGCTTTTTATTTTTATAAGTAACAATATTAAAAATAAACACCATCTACCATCACTTTCATTTTATAAAAAAGAATATTTTGGGGTGCCTGGGTGGCGCAGTCGGTTAAGCGTCCAACTTCAGCCAGGTCACGATCTCACGGTCCGTGAGTTCGAGCCCCGCGTCAGGCTCTGGGCTGATGGCTCAGAGCCTGGAGCCTGTTTCCGATTCTGTGTCTCCCTCTCTCTCTGCCCCTCCCCCGTTCATGCTCTGTCTTTCTCTGTCCCAAAAATAAATAAATGTTGAAAAAAAAAAAAGAATATTTTTACACCACATATTAAGGATATGATCTCAGAATAAAGATAATCTTTTACAGGAGAAGACATTTGATGATTTATAAAGCCTTTTTTTTTTTTTTTTTTTTTTTTTTGCCATGAACTAGTGACATTTTGTCATGGATCAGTACTTGTTTGCAGACTGGTGTTGGAGAACCACTGATATATAGTATAACAAAATATTAATGTTGAACTGTTGCTGCAGATTATGCTGCATAGATATCTCAACTGTTTTCTCAAGGAGCATTCTAATTCCACCTGTATTAAAAGGGATCATTACTCTTCATAATGGCCTACTGTTTTTCAGTGCTCTGCAATCATGCTGTCATCTGTCTCATTTTTTAATAGTAGTTTGGAGCATAGAGACCTGAATTCCCATGATAGACAATATTTCCTACTATAATTTAATCATAGTTTAGTCTAGATATGAGTCTAGTTATACTGCTATAGGCCTAGTGTTAACAAGAATAGTTTACTTTGTTTGCTCCTATAGTCGTAGTATTAACCAGAATAAGTTACTTAGTTTTTGGTATAGTAAAATATTAACAGATGGTTTATTTTGACTTTCCACAATATCGAGTTTTTCAAAATGTTTTTCAGATTTGTTAATCCAGGTGCAAATAATAACAAATAATTTTCTGAAAGTAAATTCCATAAGAACAGTAACATTTTCATGCATTTAGCATAAGAGCTAAAAGAGTATCTGGCACAGAGTAGGAGCTCATTAAATTTTATTAAATTAATGAATGATTAACAATGAATAAATTCAGAATCTTTGTAAGTTCAGATATTGCCAGATCCAGGCTTCTGGTTAAACATGTTGAATTGAACCCACACATTCACTTCTATTTCCTTCTAAAACTGAAATAAAATGACAGTAAATCCACAAGGACAAGTATATAAGGAAACAATAAAAATTAAGGTTTGAAAGTTGGAACCAGGGGCGCCTGGGTGGCTCAGTCGGTTAAGTGGCCAACTTTGGCTCAGGTCATGATCTCGCGGTCCATGAGTTTGAGCCCCGCGTCAGGCTCTGTGCTGACAGCTCAGAGCCTGGAGCCTGTTTCAGATTCTGTGTCTCCCTCTCTCTGACCCTCCCCTGTTCATGCTCTGTCTCTCTCTGTCTCAAAAATAAACGTTAAAAAAAAAAAATTTAAAAAGAAAGTTGGAACCAGATGGAAAATTTGTAATTTACCTAGCAAATGAAAGAAAGTAGAAACCCAAGGCAAAGGTGCATAAATGCTAAGGAATTGCAAGCATCATGTGCCTCTAGAAACTGGTGTGCACCCGAGCCAAAGGCTTTTATATAAGAAGCTAGAAGCTATCATACCTCCAAATTCTCTTTCCTACCTTGCCCAAAAAGGCACTGCCTGTCTCCTGCTTGACAGAAGATTGGAGATTTACACTGGAGAGTTTGAGGAACAACAGGTTGGGAAATCCAGTGGTTTGCTGGTGACCGCTTATAGTAGGGATTGCTGGTTGTCAGAGCTGTTGTCATTTGTGAGCTGCTTGTTAAACTAATGGTAGTTTTGAATCTGCCCATGGTGGGAATATTTAAAAGTGCCAAATGCTGTACCAATATGCTACTGAGACTGTTATATTGAGAACAGAGTGGGAAGTCTAAATACTGTTATCTGAGCCCTCCCTGCTCTGTTTCCCCATTTAGAGGACAGCTAGCCTTATCACTTCCAGGCAGGAGAATGGAAGATTCCTTTCTTGGGAAACTAACTTGCTCAAGAGAAAAGACTGTAGCTACTGCAGTTAAGCTCTCCCAGTGAACTAGCTCGGCCAGATCAACCTACAGTGAAGCCCATCATTTGACAAAACTTTCAACCAGCTTTTTAGTACTTCATTCTTTTTTTTTTTTT